AACAGTGAGAGCAAAGATAAAGGATACCACTACACCCATGACTGCTGAAGTAGAGTGACTTGCGAAAAACGGAGAGATTTCGCTTCAATAGCATCCCCGTCACCCTTTTATAATGTTACACTACCACTTCTAACTAGCCAGCCTAGCCATGATGCATCGACCAGGGCCAACAGATTTGGCCCCGTCAAACAGAAAACACTAACAGCCAAAAGGGTAAGATAAGGCTCACAGCCTCTTGTTAATCTCCCTAGCAATCTCCGCATGGTTCGTGAAGACAGGGACCTTTCCTGCTTTAGTATGGTCTCATGGAGCTGGTGCTGCAAGGTGCTGTGCCGCACGGCTGAAACGTGCTAAGTGTGGTCGAGACTGCCCATCTCAAGGGTTTTAGTATGGTACAGCCTCCACATCTGTACCTTACTATCCAGCCTGACCGATAAATTAGGATGTTCTCCATATATCAGCCAATCTGAAATATAGCACAGACCTTATATATGCCTGATGATCACTTAGCCCTGTTGGATCGAGTCATCCAGTAAGGTTCGGAAAATTCCGCCAGAACTGCTTAAGTTGATTAGACAAATCCAAGACACAAACGCGGGCAACCCGTCTTGGCTCAGCAACTGGAGAATCAAGGATTCATCATTCAAGAGAGTCAGTCCTTCGAATGCCTTCCCTCTTCTCTCTGTGTAGACTCCAGTATGACAGCCAGGATGAAACCTTGGTTAAGATAGAGGAAACTATGGATCGATCGGCGGGGTTGAAGCAGATATATCGAGTGAGCGGTTGTATCTGGGGATTGATTATGCTTCAGAGAGACCGGAGTGATTCAAGATTTAACCAGGCTCCTTGACAGGCATGAAATGATAGGAATGAAGGCAAGAATGGAGGCTAAGAATAAATGACAGGAGAAACTGTTATATGAGTTCGCGCTGGAAGCTGTCACTGTAAAACACTCAGCGAATAACAGGGCATCAGACTGACTTTGTGTGATCTCTTGAATGTCTTAGGATTAGGTACTAATGTACTCCCCAGATCCTTATATGAGGGATCAGATCTCCGCGGGAACAGCTCACGATGTGTTCCTTAGATGTATGATATAAGTCTATGACGCTTGTTCATCTTTGTCCTTCCTTTCCCCTCATTTCTGGTCTTTTTCTCTCCTTGATTACCTTCTATTCAACTAGCAGACCGAATTTCAACGCCATAATCCTGATACCCATCAATATTTGACAGTCTCCTCTCTCTTCCTCTACTTTAACCGGTCAACACAGGAGGAACTCTCAAAAATCATAGGAACCTCTCGCCGCTCGGTTTGTCTCCGCTCCACTTTCACCCTGAACTCCTGGTTCAGTGGCCTCGTGGGGACTATCACTTTCCGTTGCTATTATTATTACTTTTTATTGGCGTCTCCATAATTCTAGACGAGTTTTTAGTCGGTTCCAGACCAAAAAGGGGAGCAAAATTAGCTGGGGTGGGCAAAAAAAAGCTGGAAAGTCAGCAGGACGGACCGTTGGGACCGCCCGGAGAAATCCATCACGTCACGTTGTCCTGTCCGTCCTCCCGACCAGCAATGGCAGCTGCCTTTGACGACGAGGACCTTTCTGTCTCCCTCCCTTCCTACAACTCCGATCGCCAGCGTGAATGTCCCATTGGGGCCGGTCCTCCCCCCAACGCCTCGAATTATCCTGCCATGGCAATGCCTCCGCCCACACGCCCGACCGGGATGGCCGCCGACCCCGCCATGCAGTCACCGGCGACCATGAGGGACATGCAGCGGCTCGACCAGTACCAGACGGTTAAGATTCTGGGCGAAGGCTCGTTTGGAAAGGTGAAGCTGGCGATTCATCAACCTAGCGGTCGTCAGGTCGCTCTGAAGATCATCTCCCGTCGCAAATTGCTGTCCAGAGACATGGTCGGTCGTGTGGAGCGGGAGATTCAATATCTGCAATTGCTACGGCATCCTCATATTATCAAACTGTATGCTCACGTCTCAGTCTTATTTGTGTGTTAACGGATAGAATTGGACTGATCCTTTTCAACTTGCAGGTACACCGTCATCGCTACCAAAACCGACATCATCATGGTCCTCGAGTACGCTGAACGAGAATTGTTCGATTACTTGGTCAAAAGAGGGAGATGCAACGATGCAGAAGCCCGCAAATTCTTTCAACAGATCATTTGTGCCGTCGAATACTGCCATCGCCACAAAATCGTGCATCGGGATTTGAAGCCGGAGAACCTGCTTATTGACAAGGATAAGAATGTCAAGATTGCGGATTTTGGGCTGAGCAACATCATGACAGATGGGAATTTCCTCAAGACCAGCTGCGGCAGTCCTAACTATGCTGCTCCCGAGGTCATCTCCGGAAAGCTCTATGCTGGACCCGAGGTCGACGTATGGAGCTGCGGCGTGATCCTCTATGTTTTGTTGGTGGGACGCCTCCCGTTTGACGACGACTATATTCCGGCGCTGTTCAAGAAGATTGCCGCGGGCAACTTCCACATGCCCCCTTATATCTCGTCTGGAGCGGCTCGCCTGATCAGATCGATGCTTCAAGTCCACCCTGTCCACCGAATCACTATTCCCGAGATTCGCCAGGACCCTTGGTTTCTGCAAGACCTACCAAAATATCTTCAACCCCCTCCGGAAGAATTCATTGCTACTGGGGTGGATCCGAACAAGGCTATCGACCCTAAGAAGATTGCCCCGGGGAAGCCTCTCTCCGCCCAGCACAAGATCCACCAGATCGCCATCTCCAAGTTGGAACGGAGCATGGGATATGCGCGGGAGGATATCGAAGATGCACTCAAGACCTCCGAGCCCAGCGCTATCAAGGATGCTTTTTTCATAATCGTAGAAAACGAAATGATGCAGACCAACTGTGAGTGACGACTCAAAACATGACCTCCTGAGGGTGTTAGCTAACAGCCGCAGCTCCCACAGAGGACAACCTGATGGGTGGTCCTGTCGCACCTTCGCCTCCCCCGAACCGCACTCCTTTGACTACACCTGCAGTTGGCCGGCCCGCTGCACCCCGTCCTCAAGGATCGCCTCATTATGATTCACATCGCCAGTCCTCGCAAGTACCACAACAGGTTGATTCGGATGATTTTGAAAGTTCCCGAATCAGCCACGTTCGCATTCTGCCGACCAGCTTGCCCTATGTGCATGATCAGCTAATGGAGCAACGGGAGCGGGAGCGGGAGCAGCGGGCGCGTGACGCGGACCGATTACGAGAAGAACGTGCTCAGGTCAGTCTCGACGACGATCTTTCCGGCGCACGTTCCCCCGAGGAGCAGGAAGCAACCGCTAGAGCTTTGAAACCGCACTCCCGTAGTATCATAGACTTGAACAAACTGCGCCTGGAACCCCCAGAGGCTCGGAGTGCACCCCAGCAGCCCAAGAGAACCCGCAAGTGGCAGTTTGGTATCCGGTCTCGCAATCAACCTTACGAGGCTATGCTCTATCTCTACAAAGCCATTGCAGCACAGGGCGGCGTGTGGGAGATCCAGCCCTCCGAAGCAGGTTCGTTCTGTTCCAAGTTACTGACTCACGTTCTTCAACTAATCAGTTTCACAGAAGGCACAACACCCATTGGGGTTGAACGGCGACCGGGAGAAAGACCTCTGCAAGGGAAATATCCAGATCTTCCGGCCGACTACTACATTCCGAAGGACTCCTGGTTCATCCGAGCGCGTCTGTTGAAGCAAGGCGTCACGGCACCGGGTCGCTCAGCTAGTGTGCAGAGCAGCAAGAGTGACTTGGAAGAGCTTCGCCGTCGATTCAACATCTCCAGCCTGTCGCACTCTGCCGAAGAGAAGAATCCTCTTATCATGGAGAATGCGACCCACTCCGGCCCATCCTCCGCAACGCAGTCACACGTGCCTGGACGAATCTCGCATGGGGTGTGGGTGTTTGTGGATATCCAGCTGTACCAGCTGGAGGAAAACAACTACATGGTCGACTTCAAGTGTGACGGATACCAGAACGTGATCCGCGCGGAGGGCGAGACCGACTGGCATCCGATCAGCAAACGGTACTTCAACAAGGAGAAGGAGATCACGAGCCCCTATCCTTTCCTCGACGTGGCGTCGGACTTGGTGGCTCAACTGGCTGTTGCCAGCTAATTGCATTTTTCTTGCATTGTCTTGAGTTTGGGCGGCCGGCGTATAACGGAGTTCTCGCTTTGGTGCATGGCGCAGACTGGCGTCTTATGATATACGGCCTTTCTTCCTGTATCTTATTTTAATATTATGGGCATATGCAGAAAACGCACCCTTGCTTTAGCACTGACAGTCAAATGGCTATTCTTAGATCCAGGAGCTGTAACGGTATATTTCAAGAAGAGTAGTTATTGTTAAGGTCTGCTTTCCCATCTGGTAGCAATTCGAATGTCATTTCATGTAGAGGTCTCCACCATCAACCTTCACAATACTAAGGCTCTATCTCCCTTAACGGCCGCGTTATCCAGAGCACCCTCCCCAATCAACTCCATATCCATTTCAGATCATACAGGACACAACACAGAACGAATCAAAGGCACAACTGCAGCATCTCCTTGGCACAGACGCACAGAATCACCCAATCGACAACGGAACATCAGATGCCGATAATAAGATTATCGCGATCCGGCGATGACGCCAGGAAAGTATTCCCCCACGCGAGATGCGTGCATTGGGGAATGCAGAGATGGAGATGGAGGAGGCGGGGATAATCTCCCAAGTAGGGAAGCCAGTCGGAGAGTCGGATTTGCTTATGGAGTGAACCGACGGTCCTGAAGACACTGTCTAGACTCTTGAGACGAGTGAACTGGGCGTACAGTCCTGCTGGCAGGGCGGAAAAGCTGTTTGCCGCTCCCCACAGTGGGAGTGGACTGTGGGGGGAGAGCGGGTGTGGAGAATCAATCCATCACAAGGACGCAACGGCGACACGGGGAGAAGAGCCGACTATCAGGCCAGAGGATGTTTAGTAAATAAAGTCGTTGGCTGCTGGCTGATTTCGCGGATAGTTATGTTTGTTCAAACCTGTCCACCACCATGTCGTCCGAACAGCTGGCTCAATTGCAGAAGCCTACGGGCGAATATCGCCAGTATCTCCCGGATCTTAGTCTGAAGCGCTTCCAGGTGATGCACAGCCAGGATGCGCATGAGTACGCACATGATTTCAAGACGCTGCGCCATCCGCCGTGGCTGCACGCGCTGTATATGCACTGGTTGGATTTGCTGCAGGAGCCTTTTAAGGGTGTTACGACTGATGGTAGTTGCATCCTTCCTGACTCTGAGGCTGTAAGGCTGTAACTGAACGTCTTAGGAAACGTGCGCCCCGGTTTGTTCACACTACAAGACGAAGGCGTCCCTATCGCGGAGATTGTCACTGCAACCGAGTCGCTGCTCTCCATTCTTGACGACACCCAGCGCCAGTCCCTCAGCTACCACATCGATTCGCCCGAATGGCGCACATGGTCCAACCCGGAATTCCTCCTTAGCCACAAGGGCCTGCGTCTCGACGAAGTCACCCCCTCCGTCCGCGACGCCATCATGCGCATCCTCGAGACGACGCTCTCCCCCGAAGGCTACGACAAGGCCGTCAAAGCCATGCGCATCAACCACTTCCTGGGCGAGCTGGTCGACTCCCCCGCGTCATGAACGAATTCTCCTACAACTTCGTGCTCTTCGGCCGCCCCTCCACCGACAGACCCTGGGGCTGGTCCTTCTACGGCCACCATCTCTGCCTCAACATCTTCCTTTACAAGTCCCAAATCATCGCCTCCCCGTGGTTCACCGGCGCCGAGCCCAACGAGATCGACAGCGGCCCCTACGCAGGCACCCGCATCATGCAAGTCGAGGAACAATTCGGCCTGCAGCTCATGCAGTCTTTAGCACCCTCTCTCCAGTCCCAGGCCCGCATCTTCGCCCAGATGCACGATCCCGCAATGCCCCGGGCCGCTGGAACAGGGACGACCAGCGCCACCTCTGCGGCGCATACCGCGACAACCGCGTCGTCCCCTACGAGGGCATCCCCGCTACTTCCCTCACCGAGCCCCAGAAAAAACTGCTTTATGGCATCCTGGAGCAGTACCTCCTCTACCTGCCCGCGCGGGCGCGGCAGCTGAAACTCGCGCAGGTCCGCCAGTATGAAGACGAGACATACTTCTGCTGGATTGGCGGGTTCGGCGACGAGGCTCCCTTTTACTACCGTATCCAGAGCCCTGTTGTTCTGATTGAGTTTGACCACCACTCGGGTGTGTTTTTGGCTAATGAGGAGCCGAAGAAATTTCATATCCATACCCTGTTGAGGACGCCCAATGGGGCGATTACGGGATGGCGCTGCGGCCATTGATTCCGGCTGTGGAGGGGGTTAATGGGAAGGAGATTACCTGGGAGAAGTCGGCGTTATAGTTGTTATATAGTCTGTGGCGTGCTGTCCGTACTAATGGGATGGCAGATTGTCCCATGTCATGATTATAGTTGCATACAACTGATTGTATACGCTAGAGATGGATCAGTTGATTGCGTCATGGTCTTGCGCCGGTAAGCTTTCTGGTATTCCCGCGTACGAATATCCAGAATGATGGTTCTCCTTAGTCTACTGGACCCATAACTGTAGTATGTATTCCCTAGACCACCAGGGGGTACGATATATGGAACTATTTTGGATTCCGTTGATGATTTACCGTGTATCTAGAGAAGTGGTGATTTGTATGCATTCCGGACATCAATGAAGGTCTGATTCTAGTTAAGTCTAGGTAGGCTGTCTTTATACGCTTAATCTGGTAAATATGAAGCTATGCGCGTAATTCTATTAGATAATTGGCCCGCTGATCATAACCAAGAGAATGATATGCCACAAGATTCTTCCATCTGAATTTGGTAAGCGGTAATCTAATTCAACATCAGGATTCAGGAGTATATAGATCCTCTAGGTAGCCACCTGCTTGGGCAGAATAGGACCCTTTCTAACTTAATCACTGCATACAGCTTACTAGCGATATCCAAGCTATGACTGTCCTGCGGATTGCCACAGATGAGACCGGCTTGCCCTGATGCACATAAACCGATCTCTGGTATTTGCTTGCCTCGCGGGATTGTCATAAGTTCTATCCCTGTCGTGCATCTCATTGGTTCTGGACCTAATTGCCTAATCCGGAAGCAGTGAGGTTATATCGAATCCAGCCAACATGGATTACACAGTAACCACGAACACCCCCTTCTTGAACAACCCAGAAGACGACTGGTGGCACTGGAACCGTCATAGCACACGCCTTGATCGCAGCCTTGGAGTCCTGGATATTCTTCTCGGTAAGGAGCCCTATCTGGCTGAACCGTCTTATCCGGCCTACCCTTCGCCAGCGAATTGCACGCAACCGACCCCTGAGCAATTAGCCCGGTACGAGCTAGAATGAGACCTCTACGAGATAGAAGAGAGACAACATGAACACAAACAAGCGGGTCTAAATGACAGTCTGGCAAGCGATCTTCCAGACAGTCGCTGACAGGTACCTGAAACGGTTCAGCATCGAATCGGATAACGAGGTTGACATCTATCGGAAGTTGAAAGAGAAGCTGGAGCCTTCGGTGGAAGATCAGAAGCGGCGGGTCATGGAGAGATGGAGGATTCTCATGGGGTCGAAATCGACTAACCAGAGTATGGGGAAATGGCTTGACGAGTGGGAGGATGTGTTCTGCCATTGTGAGCGCTTGGAAATGGAAGGGTTTACTGGGGCGCTTGCTTCGCAGGACTTTCTCACGTCGTTGAAGGAGATTGAGCCGAGGTATGCTGGGGATACACTGAAAGTGCTGCGCAAGGATAATTCGCTTGATGTATTCGATGAGATATACGCTTATCGAAAACACTGGGAATCAAGAGCCAGCAGGAACGGAATGCGATATTTGCGAAAGGAATTACACAAACTTCCCCGTTCTGGTCGTATACAACCGCCGGGAAATCCGGCTATAAGAGTCTCGGTATTTCCGAGCAGCTGGTAAGCCTCCGCCGTCATCTACTACTTTACGGAATAATGGCCGGCAATTAGCCACCAGCTGACGGGCTGATGGAGGCGCTTCTTAGCTTCTTAGTAGAGCTGTTTTAAAGTATTATAAGACCTGCTTCTCTCGGGTGTCAAGTCTTCAAACCTTCGACATTGTCTCTCTTTCTACCGAATCGGCGAGATCTTCAAACGCAACACAATGGTGAGAGGCTATTGGCAATTCTCGTATATGATTAATTAGCTGAATAAAATTAGTTTGAACAAGCTCATCTCCACATTATCATTGCCGGTGCTGGCCTCGGTGGCCTAGCCGCGGCAGTCTCCTGTGCACTCTCCGGACATACAGTAGAAGTAGTCGAGCAAGCGAAGGAACTCGTCGAGGTCAGTTAGGTGAACAGAAGATGTCACACTGTCATTCTAAATAAAGTAGGTCGGCGCAGGTCTTCAGATAACCCCCAACGCCTCCCGACTTTTCAAGTACTGGCAACTTCCCAACTCCATCTGGCAAGCCGCAGCTGAGCCCACGGCGCTCACCGTCCATCGCTATACCGGTCAGGTCCTCGCCAATGAAGCCTCCTTTCATAAGAATATCCGCGCAAAGTATGGTGCCCCGTTCATCGATCTGCACAGGGTGGACCTTCAGCAAGCCCTGTATGCCCGTGCAAAGGAGCTCGGCGTGACATTCCATCTCAACGAGAGAGTCGACTCGATAGACTTTGATACGACAACGGTCAAAACCCTAGCTGGCAATCGGTACACCGGCGACTTGATCATTGCCGCTGATGGGCTCTGGTCTCGCTGCCGAGAGTGTTTCCTAGGGAAGAAAGATGCGCCGCTCCCCACAGGCGATCTGGCCTACAGAATCGTGCTAACCGCGGATCAAATCTCGGATCCGGAGCTGAGAGCATGGGTTGAGAACCCAGAGTGCCACTTCTGGATTGGTCCTGGTGCGCATGCGGTTGCCTACTCGCTCCGCAATGGACAGATGTTCAATATTGTCTTGCTGGTGCCTGATAATCTGCCTCCGGGAGTCTCCAGGCAGTCTGGGTCGGTGGAAGAAATGCGGAACCTCTTCGAAGGCTGGGATCCAGTGTAGGTTGTCTTCTTTTGGCCCTTGGCTGACGCTGACAACTACGGCAGTTTAAATCGCTTCCTGAGCTACGTCGACAGCGTGGACAAGTGGAAGCTGATGCACCGTGAGTATCCTGCACAAAATAATTACAACACAAACTGAATTGTGTACACTGCAGACGCTGAAATGGAACACTGGGTAAACGACAAATCAAACCTGGTCTTCCTGTACGCATCCCCTCGTTCCTTAATATCCACCATCTAATCCACACAGCGGTGACGCATGCCACCCCATGCTCCCCTACCTCGCACAAGGCGCCAACTCGTCTCTCGAAGATGGCGCAGTCCTGGGCCGATTACTCGGCCACATGAAGAGCAAATCGCACTTACCTCATATCCTCCGGCTATACGAGAGCCTGCGGAAATCCCGCGGCGAGGCCATTGTCAAGGAGACTTTCAAGCAGGTTAGTCTGCCATCTTATTCCTTCCGCTGCAACGTATTGACATTCTTTCAGAGACATGATTTTCACATGCCAGATGGCGAGGAGCAGAAAAAGAGAGACGAGGTCTTCTTGTCTCAACTCGGAAAGGAGATCAAAGGCGCATTTCCCAGTAGATGGTGAGTAACTATACTTTCTGCGGGACGATCAATTGCTTACGCAATACCAGGACATGTCCAGAGGTGCAGCCCTGGCTTTATGGTTACGATGCAATCAAAGAAGTCGAGAATGCAGTTATGCAGCACCCGGAATTGTTCGCCAGGGTGTCTGGGAATCTGTAGTCGTTTCCTTCTATAGAGCTAGATGATTTATATCAATCGCTTGATACTGGAAAGTAAGAAGATAATACATTTTACGGGCTTAGCAGAGAGAGAGTGCACGGATACAACTTATTGTATTTATACTTCTTCAGGCAACACCTGTTGCGTGCTTGCGCAGCATGTTGTCACTTAGGTCGCGGTGGAGCAGGACAGCAGGTTCAGCTGCTGAGGTACGGTCACAGGGGATCGTTGGGGCTAATGCTGCATAGTCCATGTATGTAGTATCATTTATTGAAAGTTGTACTATTTATACGCTCTCAAGCCTGACTGTAGATACATGACGTGGACAAGAGGCCCCGATAAAGAGAAGATGCACCAGATATCCGGAAAAGCCGGGAGCAACAGCCGGATGATTCCCCATGGGGTTCCCCGCTTTTTATACTTTGAACCAATGGACTGATGGGTCCACTACAGAACGATATTGCTGGCGTTTCTTGATATCGGCATATTCTTGCCTATGGTACATAACAAGAGGATATAAACCTATGACATGTCAATTTCCACATTGAGGATGCCTTTAGCGTTACAGTTATCGTCCTCAAGGATGAGGATTCCCCGTAGGGTTGCGACACGTTGCGCAAGAAAATCTATCCAGTCGCATAGGTGATCAGGCCGTAGACCTGGGTATGAGGCGGAGTATCTTAGGGTTGTGAACCGGTTTCTGTAGAGGCTTATCAGCTCATCCCTTGTGAAACAGACAAGGGGACAGATAGGAGGGTCATAATATGCGATATGAGGGGGAGAATCATGAAATACACACCGTGCGAATAAAGGGGAGAAAGATATATAAAGGAAAGAAACCTCGACCTGATGGAGGTGTCACTGGCGCTTGACGTCCTTAGAGCCTGTAGTAGGCCATGTCAATGCTGTGCTGTGAGGTCTGCTACACAGAGTGCTGTATACTGAACTGTCTTCTATCCTAGTTTTCATCAGGCTGGGAGAATTGCTCTCCCTAGCTAAATGTATTTCCCTGCGACTGCCTTGAATTGGCCCAGCAGTCCTGTCTGTATTATGAAGCCCAGAGTAAGCAGCACTGGATCTGGCTTGGAAACCAGCGTAGGGTACAGATTACTGCTTACTGAATCTGGACGATACAGCAAGGGTTCAATCGCTGTTCTACCTTCTATCCACCTGATCTACGATCACCAAGCCACTAGATATTTTAGATCGCGATCTCAACTAATCTACGGAGTACATATGACGATTTGATCTACTATACAAGATTACTGTGATAGGTAGATGGACCGTCCATACCACACCGGCGGGCATACTTCGTATCCCTTGATTGCTCCCTTGCGTCCCTTTCCTGCTACACGGTTCCAAGTAGAGAGAAGGAATGTATGGCAGTATGCTGCATAGATATATAGCTCACTCCTACCCATTTACCTTATGACGATATGAATTACAAATACTAAGGGATGAAAACTTCATACTCAGCACATCCTGGGTATATAGACCCTAGATGGACACTCATTTTGGAAAAATAAAACATTCATTTATGATTAGATTGGTCTCACTTGAGGTAAGCATCATATTATCGCGTATCCCACAATCAAAGTACTGCTAGCTTATCAAGGCCGCAATAGAGGGCATGACAAGGCCCAGAATATAACGCCTTGTCCATCTCCCTCGCCACAGAGCTGACTATCCGGATTGCCGTCAGATAAGCTGACACAGATGAACGACTCCTATGAGCATTGGCAGTGGCTGCGTACGTACGGAACTTGAGTTTATACATGATCGCAAGTTTATGGGTTATTACACCTCTGTGCTAGATAAGACTCGAATCCATTTTGCTTAAACAGACGTTGATTACGCAGAGACTGTCCATACAGTAAGTCATCTGGCAGTCCGTGTCAAACTTCGGGATACCACTAACACCTTCAAAAAGACGTACTGCAATGATAGCGACCATAAGCACGCCAGGTCTCATAGAGCTGGAAATGTTCCTTCCCAACGGTTGGAAAAAGGCCGCAATAAGCAAGTCATGGCCAAAATAATGCTCAAGCTTCTTGAAACCGATCGTCAGCTGGGCTCGGAGTTCATAGAACAATGGGAGAAGTGGAAGCGGTCTGACAAGGTGTACGATGCTCAGTATGAGGCGAACCACTGCGACAACCTGCAGAAATATTTGACTCTATGCTACGGTATGAGGGATTGCCAGTAAGTGCGCTGTTTACAGCCAGCATTCTATTCCGGCAGCCTCTAACCCTTCGCAGAGGGATACTTGCGATGGCTTGCTTTGCATACAAGATCACTTTGTCAGACCAGGAAGAAGCAATGACTCTACCGTTGCCAAGCTTCTCATGGAACTTTTCATCCTGCACAATGATTACTACTCGTGGGAAAAAGAGAATGACTCCTGTCAAACGAAGGAGAACAAGCTACCCATTTCGAACGCGGTCACCCTGTTCATGAAGTGGCACTCCATGCCAATAGAAGAGGCAAAAGCAGCTGTTAAAACGGCCGCGGTTGAAAGGGAGCAGCAATATCTTCAAGCCAAAGAGGAATTCTGGGAACAACAAAGGAGCCTAGACGCATCTGCCTCCTCAAAATATAAGGAAATGGCTAGACATCATGGAGCACGTTGTAGCAGGGAATCTCCTTTGGAGCATTTCCAGTTCCCGGTCCCAAGGCAACCTGAACAACCAACACCTTGATTATCATCAAATGAGGTGAAGTCAAGGATACAATTTCGCCGAAGATTGCACAAAATTAGAGTCATTCGTGAAGCCTCAAGCTATGACTGAACCAGTTAATGGAGTGTGCAGCACAGCTGAGCGTCAGAGAGACGATCTTAATGGCCAGTTCACGGCCTTTTTAGACCTGGCTCTAGAGCCCTTCGACGAAACTGTAAGTCAAGGTACCTGCTCATAAAGATTATTTGTGCTGACGCCAACAAAGGTTACCAAGTATCCTTCCACATATGTCAGATCATTACCTTCGAAAAAGATGCGGCAAATATTCATCGATGCGTTGAATCTATGGTACCAGGTGCCCGACCCAGAAAGGGAAATCTTAACGTCTGCAATTGACCTTCTTCATAACTGCTCATTGATGCACGTTGGAAATATATATAATCGCATTCTGGGTGAGCAATGTACCCGCCGGTCAGGTTTGGAAAGTGGAATAACCATTACGATAAAGAGGAACTCCGATTGGGACACCTAGGTCCAGCTCAGGAGCTTTACTGGACGTACCATGGCATCTCCCATCCAAGGAGGACTATTTCAGAATGATTGATGGCAGTCTGTTGCCCTCGTCAGGTCGATTCTTTCAGATTCGAGACGACTATCAGAACTTGGTGTCCGCCGATGTATGCTTCGTATCCTCCTCCACAAATCCACAAATGCTAATGTATAGGAACAACCAGTACTCTGAACAAAAGGGCTTCTGTGAAGACCTCGATGAGGGAAAGTTCTCTCTTTGCCTCATCCACGCCTTTCGTACGAAGGACCCTGAGGTCTAGAGCATCATCGAGCAACGGAAGAGTCATGGTCAGCTAAGTCTTACTCTGAAACGCCTAGTTATGGACAGACTTCGAGAGAGGGGAAGCTTAGAGTACACTCTTGGTGCTGCGGAGCCTTTACAAAAAGGAGCTTCATAGACTTGAAGAGGTAACAGGGAATGAGAACTGGGTGTTGCGGATGCTGTGTCTAAATTGGAGGTTGGTATCTAGAAGCTGCTATCTTGCACAATTGACCTGCTGTAAGTGGATTGTTTTCTTAGATCAATTAGGGTTAGGTTTATCTTTTACCATAATCTTTTAATTACCAATGGTACTGCAACTCTTAACCTTCTCTTACTGAGGCATCAGCTACAGACAGACCCACTAGTAGCTATAGGGATGTTACCTACAAATGGGTCTAGAGACAATGTGAAAGGATCCATGGACAGCAAATACTATAGTGCCCATTCATTTACGGCTTTGACAAAATAATTTATCACTGACCAAGAGATCAGCCTATGGGGGTTAAGTAGTTAACAGATCACACGCCTTCCATAGACCTTTTGAGAAGGGAGACCTCTTGTCTGGTTTGATAGGAAGTATATACAAAGGATGTCTCGAATCCACGCAGGCTCCCTTAAAAAAGTTTAATCTTTCTTTTGAATCCCGAAACTCCTCTTCGCCATCCCAGCGTCACTATGCATGCTGTAGCTGTAGCTCGCACGCAACATCTTCCGATGTACCTGAGTAAGTCATGCCTGAGAACTTATACTGATCATACACTCCGCGGCGTATTCGCACTCGTTCCAATCCTCCCCCCGCCGGGACCCCCGTCGCCATCTCCAAAGCGCCTCCACGGTCGAGCAGCTGCTAGATCATTCCGCGACGACACCGAAGTCGACGAGCTGCGACTTAGCGATGCAGGCGAGGAAAGTGTGGATGATTCAGTTGACGAGGCCGCATTCCTGGCAGTAAGAGCAGCCGCCGCGGGGTTGCAATGCGCACAGACGAAGATGCCGAAGCCGCGTCCGTTGCAGCTGGCACATACGGCTCCTCTGCGGGATATCAGAATGGGTGCAATACTCTTCTGGAAAGACATGCAGAACGTACCTTGGTGCGTTGCCTGCGCAATCCCGACAGGTTACGACGGTCCGGCCTCCTATGCAAGATGTATGCTCCGGGTCCAGGTTCAGCGACGACATAGCGCGATATGACTTTCTGCTGTGTCAATCTCAATTACGGTAGTACGACAATGATTGTATGCTTTGGAGCTTGCGGCGAAGGATCAAAGGTTAGAGGCAGACTGTAGACGCAATTGCAATCCTGAAGCAAGCGATCCATAAAGCCTGGCTGACATCCGTTGGCTGCGTCTAAAAGAACAGTCCTGTTCAACTGAGGAAATGAGTTGCTTATCAGTCTCGTCTTAATACAGCTTCTATAACTGCGCAGGTGGTATGATTAGATTAGATGAGCAAAAAGAAACTTGGCCTTGCAGGCCGAACAAGGCCCCTCCCTGTCCAGTCCAAACGGCGATTTCTTCGTATGCCGTAAGCAAAAGACCATAGGGTCACTGGACTGTGCGACTAGAGTTTCGAGGCTATTCATCCGGTTCAGATCCTTGCTGATGGCGAATCAACGTCTGTCGTCCATGTCGGAGACGCGGCGGAGTCAGAGGAGATCGGCTGCGCTGACAGGGATCAGGAACCATCGAAGCGACGCCCAAGCGGCCCAACGATCCAGTAGACACGCGTTCAAGATCATCTGGCAAGTCAGATTTCCGACAAATGGAAATTTGACGACCAGTGCGGCCCATAGAGCCGGGTCCAAGTCGCAAGTGCTTGAGATGGAAATTGAAAAGTCGACCAGATATCTTGGTCCGAGCCTCGCTCATGACATGCCGCATGAAGCTAGGTCCAGGTAGGAAGGGAACGAGCGCTGAATCATGCAATCAGAGTGAAGGAAAGAAGCGAAAAACAGGAAAAGTATAAGGAATTTGAAAATGTCGCAAGATTCATACCATGGAACAAAGCAAAAGCATGGCAGCCACCAAGAGCTGTGTTACTCGAGTCGCGAATGATAGGGGACTGGCACAGGAATTTCGAATCGCTGACCGCTCCAATGAAGCAAGAGGGGGCTAGCTGACAACCACGGATAGATGCAGGGCAACGTGCCAGCATGATATCATTCCCGTGTGTCAAATATAGATCACACAGAACGCTGTTCTAGAAGATGTACAGACGAGAGAGAAGTAAAATCAACCTAGTATCGTGTTCCTGTCAGCAATGCCGATGCCTTTTACCGGTGCCCACAAATTACATTTTCATTTCGAGCAAAGACACGATCGATTTCTGTACGGCTTTGAATGTCATTCGTCTCGCTCGTTCGTAGCCCACTAGCGAACCGTCTAATGCGTGCTCAATCACTCTGTTCCTATGACCGAGGATGCAATGATCAACGGAATTGAGCACAGCGACTCAAATGCGACTCTTAGCGAGAGTGTAGATTCTGCGGCACATACACCATTGCGCTGCATAATAGGATCCAAGCTACTGCAAGGCCAATAAAATCATGTCAGCCTATGGGAACACATGCTAGAGGACGCTGTTGGACATGTCAACAGCTGGTTATGAACTGGCTTCCTTTACCCCCATCGCTTGCAATGGGATGTCAGGGATCTAGTTGGTTTAATCTCCGTTATAGTCCATCTGAGATACCGGAGCTTCGGACTAATAAAGTGAGTGACTTTGTGAGAAAGGTGATGGGTACCTCATAATGGTCTCGTGAGCACTCTCAGCACTGCATCTCTGAGATCTCACCTCTTAATGCGAATATGTGGTCTCATGCAGGTATCCGCCCGATATACGAGCAGTGGAGACTGCAGAGCGAGTCTAACGATTTTACCAGCCCCATAGTGCCAGAAGGCCGTGTACGGACTTGGAGTCTTTGTGCCAAGCAAAGCCTTCTGTGCCTCATATCAGATGCATGGCACTTTACCTACAGATCGAGTGATCACATGTCCTTGAGGTCGTAAGGCATGAAATGAAACACGGTCCCAGAAAGCCATTCTCATAACAAATGTGAGATGCATTTGCAGTTGAAGTGTTGTTGCAGCTAATTGGCTCGCTAGCCCGGCACAGGTTCCTGGTCCCTGTAAAAGACAACTCAGACGAACCTTGCGCGCTCACCGATTGTTCCCATGAAACTGATGTGTCGTGTTCATAGTACCGAGAGGTTACATCCATCCATGTGGGAAAAGTCCAGAGTGTCAAGAATCATAAGATTCAGGATATAATAAGATGAAAACGGCTGGAGAGCGTTTGCAGCGAAGAGTTATCCCAATCGAACCGGCCGATCCGAGACGTGGCTTGGGTAAGGGAGAAATGGATACAAGATCAGCATAGGAGAGGCATATTACATTATTGGTGGTGGCGCTTAGGGGGAATATGCAAGCATCCGTATAAATCGCGCATTAGACATGGTCTCACCTTGGCTTCGTGTGCCATTCCAACTGCCATCGGAACCTTGCTCGAAATCTCCAGCCAAAGACTGATGCGCATGAAAGATGTGGCTGAGGCAGGAAATCCCCTTGGACCAATGGCCCACTTTTCTTGGTTTTTGGGCTCTTTGGAGAATATCTCCATGGCATATTGATGGCTGAGCGAAAGGGCCTACCATGCGTAATAATGTAGAGTCTGTTCCTTTATCCTTGGCGTTAGTGAGGTGATGGTGTTGATGTTGCACAAAACCGAAGCACAAGGGGAAGCGCCGAACAGATTGCGATCAGCTGACATCTGCCCTCAATATCAGGCAGCCAATCCTGGATAACATCGTTTTGTATGTTATAGCCAATCCATGTCCTTAGAGAGACCATTATCGGGCTTATACATGGATTAGAATCATGGCCAGAATGCTCCGAGGACCGGAGGAATCCAGTATGCTCAGTGATTGCAAGCCCTCAGACTCGACACCAGACACCATGCATTGCCAGCTGGCGTTGAGAGTCACTGGTGAAATGAAAACCTAAGCAAGAATGTGACTTCTTCGGCGGGATGGTCATCATGGGAGCTGCGCAAATTATGTCTGGGCCTCTGCAGTAAGCTACCAGTGTGGAAGATGCATCATAAACATATATTATTGTATGATTCTTCCTTAAGGATAAATAAAAGGAGACACGCCAGCACCAGCGTGAGCGATCCCGCAAATTCTCGACAAATTCTCAGTAGAGGAACAAGGTTCCCAAAAGCCAAGCCATCCGAGGGTAGAATAAACGCCGTTGAACGATCAAAATTCCCAGAAACAAAACGACCGACTTGGTTGAAAGGAATGCCAGGGTAAAACAAATCCAGTCTGGCAGGAGGGGAGAAATCAAAGAAGCAAACATATGAAAGGAGACTTGGAGAGAGGCAAAGAAATTGTCGGCGGCTGCACTCCCCCGTAGGCCTCTTAAGCGAAGTAGTCAGTGGGAAGGGAGGCTAAAAGAGCGACTGTACCCAAGCCACCAACCATTGCGCCGAGAAGAGCAGTGGCGACATGACTTCCAAAGCTTCCTGAGCCCGAAACCCTTTGTCGCTTCGACGGTCGTTCATTTTTAGCAGCAGGTTTGGCAGCTTTGGGTGCATCATTGGGATTCTGAGTTTGGCCAACAGTGTGAATCCCCGTAAGATGAGACAGCGAGGCATCCAGATTAACGGGTGCAACTTGTGGCTGAGCGTCTTGAGAGAATGACTCTGCAGACCCACTGACAAAATGATTGTCAAGCAAATCACAAATGTCAACTGAAGTGACATCAGGGAAGTGCCCGGCAAGGCCCTGATCAAGCTCTTCTGAGTCCGATTCCATCTCAGGAGCCTTCCTCTTCCGCGACGGCTTGACGCCAGATGTTGCTGTCCATTCGGAAGTATCAACAATGTCAGCGATAGAAAGGCGTGTATTGGAGTCCCGTGTGGCCCCTGCGCCGGCCATGGATGATACTCTATGAGGATTTGACTGCAGATCTACGCGGCCGCTGTTGTCCCGAGACTCGACACGTTCTTCATTGGGACGTTCTTCTCGACTTGGCTGACTAGCGTTAGTAGCAACGGTAGACTGGACTTTATTTCCCTTTTCAAAATCATCGAAAGTGGTTTGTGTGTGACTGTTGACGAATGGTCCATCAGTATAAGGACCAGCCGATGTCCGGTGATCTTGCGATATGGCACTGTCATTGCTTTCACATTGCGTTAAAGGATCGATAGGATGAAAGGCAACGTTGGGCCAACATTCGTCCGCGCTCGACGACGATGTAGTGTGATGGAAACAGGCGAGTGAGTGATCGAGCGATCTTCCACTAGACCGTGACGCCGAATTGGAGACTCCGACGGGCTGTGGGATGGACGACCAGCCGAACTTGAGGGGAGTCGACTCGGTCGAATCTTCATTCGCCGTGAAGTTCCAGCTGTTCATGTTCGGAGCAGCGGTCTGGGGACTAACATGCTCGCCACTTGTGACCGCTGTCGAGCAAGGCGCATCATTTTGGGTGGGTAGCGATCTGTCCTCCTCTTGCGGCTGGGCTCCCTTACTCACAGCCACAGCCACTAGCGATTCATAGATCACTGGAGTCGAAGGAACATTGGATGCCATAGCATCGGCCTCCCTATCGAACCCATCGGTGTCCACACCGAGAGATGAATGCGACATCAAATCGTCTTCAGAGTCGTCTTGCTCTTCACTTTCCTCCCAGCCATCGGATCCAGTGGCTGAGTCCCCTCGACTGTAACCAGTAAGCGCGGGCTCATTATCTGGAGCATAATCGATGCCGCCCATATCATCAGCTATACCGGCATAGGAACCCTCGTAAATGTCCTCAACAGACGGTGGGGTCATCCGCGGAGTTACAAGAGGGTGCTCATTGTTCTCTTCGTCAAGTTCAATCGGACTTGGCTGCGATCTGACCACATGACTTTGAAGATCACTGGCGGATGCGGAGGATTTGTTTTCCACTAATTCTACAGAAACATCCTTTTTCAAAGGCGAAGTCATAGGCGTCGAGTTCCCAGCAGATCGGTGATGATCAGAGTCCGAAGAAATGTCTGCGTCGTCAGGAACGTAAGATCCAGTCGATGCAGAGTCCATCGGGGCCTCGTCGACAATTTCAATTACCTCATCGTCGGTGTCAGGGACGCAGAAAGTGTTTGTCTTTGGGTTATCCTGTGCTTTTTTGGGTCTCGAAGCCCCCTCGCTGCCAAGGTTACTATGTTAGTAAACGAGCCTCGGGAGGAAGTAAACAAGTAGCCACATACTCAAGGTCAAACCATTGGCACTCGCAACGAACCCTCATAGGCGGATACGTATCTAGAGAGAGTAGGGGAGTCAGCGAGTGTCTGGCAGGAATTCACTAGTGAGGTAGACGGCATACCTTCGCCGCGTATAACCTCGGTACCAAATATCACAACGTCACCACTGTGGATTGGGATATCCTTGTCGGCCGATATCTTTCTACAATTGACCCAAGTACCATGCATGGAGCCATTGTCCCGTATGTAGACCTCCTGTGCTCAATTGCATTAGTACGAACAATGTTGCATACGAGTTTCTCTCATGCAACGGGATGGGGTTGCCTTGACATCACCTACCTTCTTTTCGAAGGATACCCTCAACTGCGCATGATCCCGGGACATAACCCTCGATTCGAACAATGCATTATGATGAGCGGGGACGAGACCCTTCGCTTCCCGCTTGGAAGCCCGGCCAATCTTCACAAATTCGGTATCGGGAGCGAACGTTAGGGAGCGGAATGGCAGGACATCTGGCTGGAAGAGCGGGTAAAGAGTCACAACAGCTAAAAACACAAGGACAAGTAAGTCAAGTGCTCTTTCTCTTTACAAGATCTCGGTGGCTTACATACCCTGCTTATCAGGCATGATGAAGGTTTGGCCAGTCGACTCGTGGCCTTTGAGCCTTGAGTTTTCTGAGAGGGGAGCAAGTGTTGCTTATCACCCACAACTAACAAAAGACAACGCCTTCACCGTTGTAGACACGATATTCGACAACTTTGACAGGTGAGCTGGAAAAGTGTCGAACAGTCGTAGTCTAGTCCCTTCGATGAATAAATGTAAAAGATTTCGATCCGTCGTCGTTGCAATAAAGTAACCAAGTCGATGACGGGGAGATAGCTAAGGTGGGGAGGGGTAAGAGGAGGAAGTGTACGGGATCAGCCTGAGGTAAAGAGACGGTCGGTGTCAGGCGGAGAAACGTGGACAAGCAACACCGTAGTCACGTACGATTCCGTGGGTAGAAGACGCGGGCTCAGAATGGCTGCCTGCTGTCCATACCCAAGGCAGAGAGACAGTGATAGATGCTCGAATAAATCACGGCTGCACAGCAGGCCAAACCAACAATACCCGGCCTGATAAGGAAGGAACTGTGGAGATGTGGCTAACGAAGTATATCTTATTTAGCAGCTGACTGGGGATACCTAAGACAACGAGCAACGCAGAGTTGAGGGGATTCAACGTCCTCTTTAGTGAGTCATCAAGAACAAGCAGGAACTATTTTACAACTGATAATGATGATGTACGAGTAAAAGGAGTGAACCACAGTTCGTTCTGAGATGGTGACGCTGATGCTGGCGATACGCAATGACATGACTACCTGACACTAGTACGTACCTTGATAGTGAGAGGTGGGGTTTCCCGTGGTCCACCTGCGTCAGGTGATAAGGATTAGTCTACGCAGTTAGGCTGCCGATAAGGATGGCCTTGCGTATGGCTTGCGGGGAAATGTACAGTATACCGGAAACAACAATGATTACCTTAGATGTTATATGTGTGAGAGTGTAAAAGTGTACCCACGTAGATAGCATTCATGGAAAAATGCAACCAACATACTGTATTTCCTACTACCACCCGCTTACTACTATGGTACAAGTTGAAATCCTTTCCATCGCCGTCCCTTGCCAGAAACGAAGCTCCAGCCGTCGAACATACTCAAACATTCCGGCCACAATGCTGCTTCCTCCATAGTGGGAGACCAGCACTTTTCGTAAACAAGCAGACGACCAAAACATACAAGAAACAGAAAGGGAAGACATATGATAGGTGAACAGACAGAGAAGGGATCTTTTAAGATAAAGAGGGGAACGCATATAATGAAACGCAAACATATGGTAGTAGGTACAGACTCGTAAGTGAGGAGACCGAGCGCACCCCAAGTATCAGAGTGAGCTAAGGAAACGGTCCATTATAAAGGCGTAGGTATTGCTCGCATGGCTGTGCTGTCAATTGGAAGGCTGTTGACAGGGAAGAAGGAGGGGAGGGAAACGATTAGTCTCGCAAAAGCCATCGGGGCAAAAAAGTGGTCTATGTAGAAGGTGCGAAAGAGTTCATCGTGTGTGACTCGTTGAAGTGGCTCAGTGACTCTTTACAGACCAGGAGGTCCGCCCAACCCAGCACCCATGGATTGCAGGCGCGCTGCCAGCTGGGGGTATCTCTCCTGGACTTCCAACTGTGTCCGAGTGGCCTCGGCATACGAGATGGCGTTAACGATCTCCGCCTCCGTACGAGCCAGCTCTGCGGCCCGTTCGAAGTACTTGAGCGCCTGCGAGACCTTACCCTGTTGAAGAAGGAGCTGGGCCATGGTACCCACAGCAATATCGCACTCAGGGTCGACTAAGACACAAGTCAGTGAATGCTCAACAATTACAGAAGGCAATGGTAATGACTTACTGATTAGAGCCTTCTGGCAAAGGTTCTCGGCCTCCTGGAAGTCGTGCTTCCACTGGAACAGCGCAAGGGCCTTGTTGATCAGGGGTAGGACATTGATTCCCATTGGCTTGCTTTGCTTCTCCATCTCCACAGCCTTGTCGAACTTCTCAATGGCCTCGGAGAAATTCTGCTGATCCAAAAGGAGCTCACCATAGTAGTTGTAGACATCCGGTACGTCCTCGAAATTCTTCACGGACCGACGGAATGTAGCCATGGCTGAGGCAACAGAGCCCATCTTGTACTGTGTCACACCCAACTGAATATGAGAGAAGATAAAGGTGCGGTCGAGGTCGATCGACTTCTGATAGTCCTTGGCGGCTTCGGCGAATTCTCCAAGAATGAAGTGAAGCTGGGCGCGGTGGTAGTAGATATCGGGATCGTCCTTGTTGTGGGTGATGGCGAGTTCAAAGTCGTCGGCTGCGGCGTCCTTGTTGCCTAAAACCGGTCAGAAACACCTGGGTGATGCTCACAACAAAAACGCGATGGACTTACCAAGCTCGAGGTGCAAGCTGGCGCGCTTGATATAGCTCTGCACCAATGATGGCTGCAATTCAATACTCTTGTTAAGATCAGCCAGCGCCGACTGGGCGTTGCCCTCGAGGTAGGTGAAGGTGGCTCTCATGTTGAGGGCCAACGCTTCGTATTCACCCAGATCACCGAGTTCCAAGGCCTTCTCGAAAGCACCAGCAGCTTCCTCGTAGCCGTCTCCGGTCTTCTTGCTCATGGCGACCAGACCCTTGCGCAGCTGACCTTTGCCAGACTCTTCGCTGAGATCTGCGGACTCTTCAAGGCCCTCGGGGAGAGACTGCGGGCGGAAGCTCTGGAGGTAATTGGACACGAAGGTAGGGCTAGGGAGTTTGCGACCCTTGGCTTCCAAGATAGCCTTGGCTTTCCTCTCTGCAACCTTCTTGAGAAGTCTTTCCAGCGCGTTGCGGCTGACATCATTGGAGAATCCGTCGATGATGCAGCTGGCAGTGAAGTCGAGAAGGGCCTCGCTGTACTTCTCGAGGTGTTCGTACGCAATCGCTCTCCTGTTCAAGGCCTTCACGTACTCACTGTCCATCGCCAGTGCAGCGCTAGTGTCCTCAACGACCTTTTCCCACTCCGAAAGGACATTGTAGCAGGCAGCGCGGTTCGAGTAAAAGACAGGGTCGGGTTTGCAAATAATCGCCTTTCCGTAGAGGTCGATGGCCCTGTTGTAATCCTTGGAGCCATAAGCCTTGTTTCCAGCCGCCTTGAGCTTGGCAGCATAAGCTTTCCGGGTCTGCAATGACAATTGTGAGCATCCGAGCAGCGGACGGTGGGAGAAGCAGGAAGGATAGGATTAGCAACTCACCTCGTCCGACAACTGATCAACAGTTGCCTCATCGACCTCAGGCAGCTCTTCCGAAACCTCCTCGACCTTCTTGGGAGCTTGTTCTAGACGGTTATCAGCTCGATACTGCGCTTTGAGGGTGCGCAAAACGCGGTCAGATTTAGCATACCCTCTTGAACGGTGGCGGTCTTTGCCTTCTTTTCCTCCTCCGCCTTCTTCTTCTCCTTGCGTCGCTGGTTCTTGCTCTTCTTCTTTTCTGTGGGAGTAGGTGCTGGGGTAGTCCGGCCGGAGTCGGAAAGGTAGTATACAACGCCTGCGCTGGTCACGACCACGGCAACACCAGCAACGGTATAGACCAGCGCCTTATTTTCCGACACCCATTTCGAGATACGGTCCCAGACTGACGCGGATGATGAAGCAGGGAGGGAAGCTGTGTCAACAACGACGTTCTTGACTGGCTGGGGTAATGGCGATTCGCTCGACATGATGACCCGGCAAAGAGGAACCTGAATTCTGAACTCTGCATAGCGCAGGGAACGGCAGTGAGCAACCTAAAAATGAACAATTCGGGAGAAAGCAAGAACTGGGGAAAGTAATTGCAATTAAATAATAACATACCGGTCCTTGATGAAGGGTGGGGTGCTTGTCAGCAAAACGCTGCTCTCTTTTTGGCTTCGGAGAAGGGAGGGTGATGGGAGAGATGATGCGGCCCTGAAAAAGTTATGCGTTTCGATGTTCCAAGTTCCGGCGTACTGCAGCGCCCTTCCGAGCTCTCGAGCACACCAGGCCAATCACACTCTCTTGCTTACTCTGCTCCACCATATATCATCATCGCCCGAGAAAACCGATCTCTAATAATTGGAAATGATTTACGGGAAGGCAGAGTCTTGATATGGTAGAGAATTGGTCCTGTCACTACTAGTGCTTTCTCGTTGACTGTCGCATACATTGTCGTCTTATTCCTCCTTACTGCCCTCGCGGTATACCATTGAACACAGGGTCCATGATCCACTTACTCTGCGTCCATTTCGCTCCTAGCTGACGCAATGGCTACAATTACACCATCGCAAGCCTCGGACTCCTTCCAGATAATTTCCTCTCTTCGCTACGAACCTGCGCTTCCCGAGTTGCTCAGAACACAACCCACCGATGCCTACCCAGACCCCCTGCGATCACCTTACTACCTTCTCCCCTATCATCAGGAACGACTACTAAAAGCTGCAGAATGTTTCGGGTGGAGCAAAGCGGCTACGTTCCTACAACAAGACGTAGAGTCCTTCGTCGAACACCTCAACAGCTTCATACCAGACCGGACGAAACCTTGGCGTCTCCGCATTGTCATTGACAGAGATGGTACGTGCACCGTCGAGGCCAACGCAGCGCTGCCAATGGATCCATCAAGCCTTCTCCTGCCTTCCGAAATGAATCAGACATCCACGCCCTGGCGTGTCACGATAGACTCCCAAAGAACCGTGCCGTCGCCCTTCACAACACATAAGACTACATCCCGAGACGACTACACTGCTGCGCGACTTCGAGCCAAGATCACCTCCCCACAAGATCCGGCTGAAGTACTAATCGTGAATCCTCAAGGGGAAATTATGGAGGGGAGCATAACGACTCCATATTTCAGACGACGTACGTCCGCATCCACACAAGCGAAGATTGATCAAGAGGATTCCGGGCCGGCCTGGGTCACGCCACCTCTCTCTAGTGGAGGTAACGCGGGTACAACAAGGCGGTACGCTCTGTCTCAGGGGTTCTGCTCCGAACAAACGATCACTGTCGCCGAGCTGATCGACGGTGAAGGGTGTTGGCTCAGTAATGGTGTGAGAGGATTCTTCCGTGGCAGAATCCTGCTGAACGAGTCTAAACCATGAGAGATGGATGTTGGTCAAATCTACCGTTAATCCCAAGATTGCCCATGCCCAACAAGGCAACTGGGGTAAAACTATTACGCGTATCCGCATTGAACCGATCAAGGATGAAACGCTGAGACGGTCAAGTTCATTCATATCTATCATCGCTTCATGTCATTTGCTGGACCACTCATGTTTCCAAGGTGGACCTGTACGTCCCCACGACCAGCATTCCGGAAGCAGGCGCTTGACGAAACTGGCAGGTGCACGCTGAAAAGCAGGGCTATTTATTCAAAGTGAGGAACCTCTATTTCTTCTCAACAACGATGGGGTTGGGGTTGCCTTTCCACTCCAGGGGCCGGGGCTGCATGAACTCAGCAACTATCTCGTCGGTGACCTGGGCCCTGCGTTCCTGGAAGGCCTGAACGTAAGCCTGTAGCTCCGCAATACATTTTTGCTTGACCTCGCCGGTAAGCATCTCTCCCTTCTCATAAGCCACACGGATCCGCTCCAGTTCCTCATCATCTTCCATGAAGAACGTCAGGTACTGGAACGGGACGTCATCCTTGGTGTTGGCACCCAGTTGACGCTGAAGCTCAGCTGTATCCTGTCCTCCAGAGAAGGCGTACTTGTTGATTTTGTTCTTGATTCGATTGGGGGCGTCGCTCATATAGATGGCGGATGTCTCGACGCTCGCAGACATTTTCGAGCCAGGACCCTGAAGAGCGGGAAGGAAGATAGCATGGATCAAAGAGGGCTTCTTGTACTTCATCTTCTCGGCGTGTTCACGGCACTGACGGAAGTACGGGTCTTGGTCGATCGCACAGGGAATCAGGCAAGGAATCGACGAGACCTTCTTCCTGTCGGTGCCGAAGATATGAGGAAAGCTGGTTGCAAATGCAGTGGCCGATTGAGTCGCGCAGAAGTGGAATTCTCCGACATTGTTGCTGTCGTTGAAGCCAAAGGTTCCTCTGACGGAGTTTATTGTGATCCTCTTCGCCAATCTGCAGATGTTCTCATAGAATGCGCCGCCAACGAAATCGAAGTCGCTGAAAATAAATGTCTTCTTCATATCAAACCCAACTGCAATGATGTCCTTCGCATTTGCTTTCGCATATTTCTTAGCATCCTCGACCTCGATCTTTTGCGAATGCATGTATTTCTATAAACTAGTTAGACGCAAAGGTAGAACTCGTCATAGACATAAGACTCGCCTCGTCGTCAGTAAGCATAATAACCAAAGGGCAATCGAAGACATCCTGCAACCACCTGGTAAAGTCATCCTGGTCAATTTGTTTTCAGAAGCATGAATTGAAAAAAGGACGACGTACTTAGTGAACTCAAAGGGAATTGTGTGTCCGACGTGCATGCTGTCGCTGCTAGGTCCACGCCCAGTGTAGAGGTAGAATGGTTGTCCCTTCTCATAGCGATCAAGAATCAGGTTCAGGTCACGGTGACTGAACACAATTCCTCTGCGCATAAATCGATGAGGCCGACGTCCTGTTACTCTTTCAAAGCGCTCGAGCAGTTCTTTGGATATACGAGTCGCTCCAAATTCCCGAACCAGTTTATCATAGTCGACTGGGAGGAGCTTACCCGACTCGTCGACACCACCGGACACATCGAAAGGAGTCACAACCTGAGCGACTGCCTTGGACGCGGGGGCCTTCTCGGCCAGGCTCAATGTCGTGAGAGCGGGGGGTTGTCCAGGTTCGTCGGCCATGTTTAATGAAGGTTTCGGTATCAGCGAGATGAAGATATCAAACGGATGACCGAGAAGGCGACCAATGCGCTACGGCGAGTCACTCTGAGTAGCGGAAGATGGTAACAATCTTAGAGTACTGGTCAATAAATTTCTCCTGCCCCTCCAGACAGTTTGGTGGGTGACTCAGGCCTGCTGGCAGAATTCGGGCGGTGTGCTTAGCGGAAAAATCAATCACGTGAATTTCTTGGCATCCCCGCGTTACAAAACGGGCTAGCGCCAGAGCTCCCGGAAGCTGACAGAAATTCTTCTTGCAGGAGTTGCTTTCCGACCACTGAGAAAGGTCAAGGATCAGACGAGCACCCATCTTCCTCAGACGTCCGATTTCTCCATCGCCACATCAGCTCCAGCATCGTCATATCAAATCTACGGCCTCTTTTATGCATCAGCAACCATGAAATTCTTCGAGAATGTCTTCACGTACGATTATTCCTTCCCTGCCGTCTCGCTGGCCTACTTTCTCCGATACCCGAATCCATATTCTCGCCATGTTCTGACCACCGATGTGATCGACCGTTATGTGGATCCGAAGACGGAGCGACTTCATACAGTTCGTCTCCATTTGAAGAAGTCAAAGGTCCCGTCGGGCATTCTGAAATTACTTCCGAAAGGAATTGGGGGCTCGGACAATTCTGGCCAGAGTTATATACTTGAGACTACCGTCGTCGACATTAAGGAAGGATGGATGGAAACTGAATCGCGGAACATGGAATGGACGGGTATTCTGAGTGTTGTTGAGAAACAGCTCTACACGCGCCAACCAATTGAGGGTTCGCTCGAAAGCCTACAGGGGCTTTCACTAGATGCTCAGAGAAACGAACAGACCCAGGTGAAAACCACGGTCACCTTCCGCTCTCGGTTGGGACAAGGAAAGTTCCTTGGGAAAAAGAAGACCATCCCTACTGCCGATCAGACCATTGAGTTTGATGAAGAGACGCCTAAAAAGGGCTTCTTCTCGTCGCTGTCCACTGCTGGAATTCAGAGAACCATTGAGCTCATTGGCGTGAACCGAACCCGAGATGCAGTGCTCAAAAGCAAGGAAGGCATGAACATAGTCTTGGAGCGGTTGCGGAATGGTGGTATAGTCGGTGTCCTTGAGGGGATGCGGCAGGATCGGGAAGCAGCTTTCGGACCCGATGGTCCGTGGAAGCGTGTCTGGCTTAGAGGGAATGGCCTCAAAGAGCGAACCTTTACGGATGATGACGACAACTGATTGACACATGTGTAGGATTAGCCACGGGGCAACTTCTTTTCTTGCAGCATTCGAGCGTGGGGTTTCGGCGTTTGGGACCTGTCCAATTTTGGAAACTCTCCTATATGTTTGACTTGCTTTACTGTCATCTTCATCCCAATATTCTTGTCATCCAACTGAAGTTTTCACATGATGAAAATTGACGAACTAAACATCAATGTATATTAGCTGGCCATACGGCAAATGTGGTGACCTTATTCGATTCGCAATAGGCACCTGTTGTACAATATATCTGCGTCTCACTCTTTATTTTTTTCAGTCATCTTTCACATACGTCCAGTTATTCTAAGATTCAAGTCCTTTGACCGGATATCAAAAGAGTCTTGGATTGTTTAGTTCTTCAACTTGCTACTGTAGTGTAACGTATTTCCTGGGCGAGCGGGACACCCGACCGAGCGGGACACCTCTATATCCCACATAAAATGGCACATATCAAGGCTTCCATATCTCAACAACCAAGCATCTACAGGGTCTGAGATTTGATAGGAGGTGTTAGTATAATCATACAGAGTTATATTTATAAGCCACAGCCTTCTAGTATATGTGAATACTCAGGTAACATAAATTACATTAGTATTTTTGGTGAAATTAGCTTTTTAGACATTAAGAGAGAAGGATGGAATTTTAGGGCCATGCAAAAAAGTATTCATATACTCTAATCTGTATATAGTCTAAATATCTTGCTTATATTGTAGCATATATGGACGTGGTTGAGATATCAAAGCCTTGAAGAGTGCTATTCTATATGGAATACAGAGGTGTCCCGCTCGGTCGGGTGTCCCGCTCGCCCGGGAAATACGTTAGTAGTTCTTCATTATAACTTAGTCATCCTCACACAAACTTGTGGAGACTAGCTTCATTCTTATAGATCTCTCCCTCCCTTCATCGATCAGACACCTTCATCGTTGTACCCCATCACATCTGACAATTCATTGATAGAGTCTGATCTTCATCTCAAGATGAGTTGTTCAGCCAAGTATAAGAGCTGGAACGACTGAGGTACCCCTTGCCTGTCACATGCGAGTCATCTACATCAGACCTGATATTGATATTGGGCACTCCCATATATATCAAGCCAGTGAATTTGACTGAGGCTTCACACAGTTTCTTTAGATCACCAACTTCGAGAAATCAACCTATTTTCCCTTGGTAGTCGGACGCTGCCGTCATGTCGCACAGTCCCTCGGAGCCATCAGCTTCATCATTACCAACAATGTCTACGCATTCTCTAGCACTTCGAAATCAAGCTACAGGCGGCTCTCTCGATGAGAAAAATAAGATTGCTACTACCCAAAGTCCAGAGGCTGTGATAGATCCTACAGATCTGCAGCATCTTGGCGAGAACCTAAAGATACTCCCAGTGCCATCAGTGAACGACGACCTCGAAACAACGGCCAAGAAGATGAAAGCATTAGCCAAAGTGGTCAGCGACGGGAACAGCCTAGCACTGTTCACAGGCTTGCAGATGGCATCTCAGCACTTGAGTGATCCAAAAAGCATAGCCGTATCACAGATGACAATAGATGAACGAGTGCAATACGAGGCATGGCTGAAGGCCAGAAAAAATGGCACTATGAAGAACCCCGGCGACCAGGACAGTGAAGAGACATCTAACCCTGGCGGAAAGGTGCCAGCCGTTGGCTTTGACTGGGTCAAAAACGTAGCTCCAGTGCCTGATGGCGCTCAGAGTTTGAAGAAGTTCACCGAGCGCGCAGCAGCAATGGACATCATCTGGGACCACCAGGGCGCAACGCCGGAGAACGCAGCGTGGCTTACCTTCAATCAGCCAGCTATTCTGCCTCTTGTCAAGGCCGTCTGCAGGGTCCGCACTGCCGAGAATCACCGCAAGAATAATCGGGATCCCAGTATGCGCGGGTTGACGGACATGGAGGCAGCAGAGGTTGAAACAGTGCGGAAAATCGTGTCTCTTGCAGAGAGAAACAGGACACGAGAGCTGGAAAAGATCCGGAAGCTGACCAGATCAATTACGGAGTCAGCTGCGCTGATAAAGGCCCGGGTCAAATCTCTTGAAGATAAAATGAATAGCTGATCCCATGAGATCCCTCATCCGAAGTCATTATTATGGAGTTTGCTGGGAAAGTTACTGGTCGTGAGGGCATTTCTTCTGATATAATTCTGCTACCAGCATTGTCTACTAGTATCAGTGAGGTAATATTTCTTCTTTTCATCCATCTTTGATCTCCTGTCCCAAGCACCGCGGCAAAACTGTGCTGCCCAAAGTCACTTTAAGTACATACTTTGTATTCCTTTGAGAAAAGCAATGCGCACAGTGGCCAAGGGTTCACAACTCTCCGTAGCAAGACCTACAACTCTAACCCGCCTCTCGATTGGATAGCGGCGTTATCGGATAGGGCACCTCCGCCATTTAACTTCAAGGTCCACTGCCAAACTCCCAAACCAAACTAGACTTTTCATACCAATCCATTTGAAGTTGCGAACCCGAGGTGTCCAACACTCGAACGGGTCATTTCCGCTGAACCCTTAATTCAATTGCCTGCTAGACTAGAATAGGGAAAAGTGGCTGACTGGCTGTCCTTGGCTAACAGCCATTTCGTTGTTGGTGTACTGGGTGGATAGTCATAGCACCAATTTAGCCTGTAAGTGTGAGCCTATGACGCACTAGAGGCTGCGTTAAAATAGAGGATGACTTCATGTCTCTTTTCGCTACCTTATAGTAGTCTTGGGTGCCTTCCACCCAACAATGTGAGACTGGCTTGCCTATTAATGGATTTGAATCATTCAAGCTTGAGGTGCCGGATACGCCTGTTGGTTTATAACTAAGACATATTTCTCATTAGGCTATCTGGAAGGGAAGAGGAGAAACAGGGTGTCACAGTTGACAGTGGGTCATCCAGTGACGATTGAGTCCAAATCGGCACCAGGCCACGGTAAAAGGTGCCTTCATGAGTCCTTCGGAGTACTGAGGGCGAACCAGTGGGAAAGGGTCAATCATTGTTTGGGTCAGAACAGTCCGTACTCATCTTGACATCTTCGGAACCAGATCAGGTTCGTAACATCATTGGCTTGAGAAATCTCAACAGCCTTCTTCGGGGCTTCTCTATGTCCAAGGAGAAAAGTGGTTGTATGATTGCCTCCTTCTGGGTGAGTCTAAGCTGAATGAGTTCAAACAGCATAGGGATATCCTGGTGGGCTTGACCAGCTGGTGTAAATATGACTGTATAGAATTTAATGCTCAGCTACATACTCCGTACAGAGCTGATTTGGCAGGCCACTCATTAGCGACTACTTACCTCTCTAAGTGGCTCAGTAATTCCTAACTTCCCACTACCCTATTAGCAAGCATTATTGACGAGGTAACATCCAGTCACCTAGGTAGAAGAGAATCACTGCGGCTTCATGCATACAGACCATCTCCGGTCAATTGACTGAGGATAACAGTTCCATGTTACATTATTGGTTTGTTCTGATCAAAGTATCAGCCATATGAACTCAAATACTAGATAACAGGACATCATCTCTTCAGCGCTTGACTGTCCTCCGCCGATTTCCTCGTCGTAAAATTACTTACCAGCGTAAAAGGAGAACAATCAAGTTGCGGTGGGGGGCTGGCAGGCTAAACACACCAAGTGGGACGCCCAGGATTCAAGTATCCAAATATGTGCAGACTCTGCTCCCTGAGTGGTCCACTCCTGGCACATTGTCTGAGATCAACCACCGGAACTGCCACATTTGGCCAGGAAATGCGGGGGCAGCCCCCGTTAGCCTGGCTGGTCAAGCAGGGCTAACTTGCTAAGAATGTCCACTGGTAAATCAGGGAGCGCTAAAGGCACCTCTTCGGGGTTTCTTGAGCCCTGCGGCCAATCCCGGGCCCCACAAGCCCTGGTTTTTGTGGATTATTTATTATTGGATTTGAGAGAGTAATAACCCGAATTCAAAATTTGAAAAGAAATGATCTGTTTGAATCACTGACCGTCTGAGAAGGTCAGCAGGGTCATCATCATCATCCACCATCGGTCTGTTGTCGTATTTACAATTGCGTATGATCTCTGTCTCTGATTTTCCTGGGGGTGCTCTGTAGGAGGTAGTCTGCCTCTCCGTGGCCTTAATACAAGGCTTGAAGCTTTGTGCCTCAGCCTCCTTTATCCATAATAATCTCCTCAGGAGTGAATCTTACTCATCTTCCTGGAGGTATTTTCCCCATCCGCACATTTGTTTCCTCGTCAGGCCATGTTCTTCCACCATTGGGCTTCCTAGTACTCAACTCACTCCTGTAACATCAAACAAACCCTTGTCCTCATCTCCGTCAATATCACCGTTGCTTGGCCACTGGCTTGATTTAAGTCCTTAGCCTCCCCTGGTCGGTGGACAAAGTGGTTCGCAAGAGCACCAATAGTCGCCATTTCCTCACACCAGAACAGTTTAGACACATTTACACAACGGACGGTCTGCGCCTGTGCCGTCTAAGCGCAGAGGGGACTCTCACTAGCATCTCTTTCTGGTTTCTGCACTCCCTTTCTCGTTTTGCCCCATAGCAATAGTGGTATTAGTGCTTGTGGGCTTTATCATGCTTTAAAGGGTCTTGCGACATATTTATCTCCTCCACTTGGCTTTATTTTCGCATTCATCCCTCCGCTCCTTGTTCCGTCTATCCCTTCAACAACCTCTCCGACCGACAGGGTTCGTCAACAACCATAACATCCGCAACACGGTAATGAGCATGCCAGTTGTCTCTGGCCGCTGCTCCGTCAACAGTCCCATCTAGATACCATAAACATATCGATCGCTCTCGTGAAACTGCTTTGTCCCGACGGTCGTGAAATTATCAATGTCTCTACAACTCGGATCAGGGTCGGTCTTTCGACCTGGCTGGATGCTTTTAATATTGGTGTTGGTCGCTCTGCCGTCAGCCTTCGCTCAGTTTTGCACCTTTTGGGACGGTGGCTGCGTCGATCCTCTCGCTCAGACAGCCCTCAACTTCGATTTCCCTCCTCTATTCCTTGATGATATCACTCTGTACTATGGCTTCGACGCGAATCCCTCGGGCAAAGGGCAAGAACCTATGGTCAAGGCCAGTTTCTGGCTTGCATACGACCCGCATCGCATCGACAACTCCGTCATTACTGCAAATCGGACCTCTGAGATTGCCTTCCGCGTAGGAAATCTGACAGGGACGCCGTCTGGGCCTAGTAACGGCTGCGATGGTGTTTGGGGTCCCCAGTGTACACACGACCTGAAGGAGTTGCTGAAAGGGGCCATTTACGAGTTGACGGCCAAGGGGGACTATACGTACCCGCTCCAAACCGTTATCAGTCAAATGCTCGTCAATCCACCTATGCTCTCCAATTGCCCACCGCCCTTTTTCGATGTGCAATCATTGCCTGTGCAGGGTACGTGACTCTTGGCTCTTATTTTTGCCTATCTGCGCTCTGACATTAGCTCACACTGAATAGCATTCGCTCAAGAGACCGAGCCTGACAAGACCGCTACGATACAGACGCCTGGTTTCGGCGGAAGCCCGTGGAAGACGTGGTTCATCGATAATATGACGTCCAGTCAACAAGCCGAGCAGGTAGCGGTCGCCATTCTTAGCCGAGCCCCGTCTTCCAACGCCTATTTGATGCACGGCAAGGATGACATTATGATTGAGCTTGTCTGCATCCAGGCACCTTCTTCCGGGAGTTCGTCGTCTAGCCAAGACGGCTGATGAATGTCTCAGCTAAGGGACACGTCTACACTGCAGCACCGAAGATCGATCCATTGATACAACCCTCGGATGGTCCAGCCGGAACTGAGTCCACCCCAGGAGTCTATCGAACGCTCGTTACGCCCGTGCTAGGCTCCTATTCACACCTTATCGCTCAATCCCATAGACATCACGGTGCTCTAATGGCATACCATGTTTGCTACTTCATGAGTGAGACTTTGGAGAGTCATCCCTCAGAAGCATAGTCGAACCAGATCCATGCGGTTCAAAGGGTCAGTCAATGCCACTGCTGAACCATACGATTGTACAGGGTGCCCCTCGTTTGCATCAGTCCAGGTGAACTCGAGCCTTACATAGGCCACTCCTGACCGTCTCGACACTGAAACTCTTGATACTCGGCCCACCTGTCTAGTGGATAGGGTTCATTCATTTGTGGTACCTGTGTGGGCTTTGGAAAAAGACCTCACGTGTTGAGCAGCCAGCGGGCGGACATGCCTTAACGGATGTTCAGGATCATGTCTATTGATAACATGACAAGGGAGGGAACCCCTCTGGTTACAATTGTACTCAAAACGTTGCGATATATTAGAATCCACCCTTTCTACACATTCCGATATCTTCAAGATCGACCATATATTCCACAACCATCTTAACCCAGTGAACTCGGCCAATGCTCCTCAGCGTTTGGCTGCCGCCTACAGTGTCGGCCAGTCCATGTCAATCGGCTCCAAATTACCAGGTCCGCGGAAATCCTCCACAATCTCCGCCTGCTCACTTATGAGCTTGCGATCCGTCTGAATCCCAATCTTCGCCAGACCCCTCCACCGCGCCAAGTCCTCCGCATTCCGCTTGTCCCCATGCGCAGCCTCGGCATTCTCCCAGTGTCCTTTGGAGAATCCCATCATCGTAGTGATGCGCTTTCTGGGGATATCATATACAAGCGAGCAGATGGTCCCCGTCTCTTCCAGCCAGTTGCACTGCCATAGCTCGCCGGGCCGGATGCATTGGTACGTGGCTGCTTGGAAATTCTTACGGCCGGCCATGGGCCCGCCGTGGATGGCATAGACGAACCGATCCTCGTTATAGAACCACATTTCATAGCGCCATTTTTCTGGGTTGCCGTGGGGTCCTGTGCGGCATAGTCGTATATGAGGTGACGATCGCGGATGTCGGTGTCGAAGGTTGAGTCTTTGAGGGATGGAACGACGGGCATTTTGATTGCTGTCCAACAATTGCAGATAAGCTAAAGGAATATAAGGTCTCTTCTACTGAACGTGTGTAAATTTCTGTCAGTTGTAGAATCGATCGCCCTCCCGTAGGGAGCTGCTAATGTATGTATCTAAAGTCCCCACTACCGAAGTCTGCAGCCGGTAAATTCGCCTCATGCCCGTTCTTGATACTGGCCGCGGGCTTTGAGCTGTGCGGATGTGTCGGACTTTAGCAATGACATCATGACCGCGCGGATCAGCCTCGGATATGGAGATCTGACATGTTGAGGGTGCAATAGATAGGCTTTGCCGACGCTGTACCTTACTGCGTGTATTCTGTGGAATATACTACCTTACGTTGCTGGTTGTTAGGTTTAACCTAGACAGTTAGGCGTGGCGATTGGTAGACGACAATTGCTGTCGATATATATCTAAATACAGAGGCCAGGAGCATGAAGACTCGGACCTGATGGCGTCGTTGACCTCGTTAAATTATATCACAGCAAAGCTCTTTGCTAAACGGATAGATAGACATTCTTCCATGATTCTATCTGTCAGACATGTGTCCATTCAATTGGACAATCACCCCGCCAACTGGTCCCAAATGGGAAATCTGCTTGTTTACCCCATCGCATCGAGGATTCCTGGTAGAGCTTGATTCAGCTACAGACTGATACAGAGCAGGAATTGATTCCATGAAGGTTTATAGAATTCACCACTTTCTTGGAATGATTCCTTCCTGTCGTTTATAATTCTGTCAAGACCTTACCGGCTGCAATGAAGTGGCAGGCGATCCTTGCCTCCCTCCCGGCAGCTCCGAGTCAAGATGTTTCATCTCTCCCCGGCGCATCCTCTTATGTTGCGCCGGCTGGGTTTCCGACTTCGGCGTTTTCGTAAGTCTGGATGAGCGTACCGATGTGAAGTAACTGACTCGCATCACTCCGTACAGCTCCTACTATTACCTCCCAGCAGAGCCCACTCAGGAGCCCCAGCCAGTGATTCAGGACCCTGTGCTGAATATTACTTTCCCATACAATCTGACCAATCCCAACACTATACCAACTGAGAACAACGACCCAGTGGTCTTCCCAACCCCTTCGAAGAAGCTCTCTGACAGTCAACAACATGAGCTCATCCAAGCTGTAGTGGCCAATGTAACCAGCATCATCAATGGCAACGCTGCGCACGGTAGCTGCAGCAAATGTAAGGCAGCGTTGACTGCAGCCAAGCCTGCTGCATTGTATGCGCCGACTCTAGTGCCCGAGACCCTGACATCGCTCTGCAAGCAGTTTAGTTTCAAGTCAAATGCCACCTGCGAAGAGGACTATGCTGTGTCGGTCTTCGGCGCCGTCTGGACGCAGGTGCTGGCCTTCGCTGACGTGGAGGGCCTTGATGGGGACTATATTTGCCATGCATTGAGCAAGTCCTTCTGCGGTCAGCCAGCGACAAGGCCGCTGGACACCGCTGGTCTTTTCCCCAAACCTAAGCCAGCAAATCCTCAAGTTCCCAGGGCGAGCGGGAAGCGGGTCAAGGTGCTGCATCTTTCAGACTTTCATCTGGATCCGCGGTACTCGGTCAGCTCCGAGGGCAATTGTTCGTCCGGGTTGTGCTGCCGTAATAACAACTTCAATTCGGCTTCGAGGGATGAGGTCCTACTCCCTGCCCCGGCGTACGGGACTTTCAAGTGTGACACGCCGTATGATCTTGGCTTGGCTGCTCTTCAGGCGATTGGGCCCTTGACCGGGACCGGGAAGGGAAAGGATGAGGATTCTCTGGCTTGGTCTCTTTACACTGGCGATCTTGTGTCGCATGATCCAGTGCAGGAAATGTCTCGAGAATATCTCGAGTACACAGAGACTAGCATCTATGGCATGTTCAAAGAATACCTAACCGGACCTGTCTTTGCTGCGCTGGGTAATCACGATACCAGCCCCGAGAACATCAATGCTCCTTACAATCTTCCGGGGCCTCTAGGCGAACAGCAGAGTTGGAACTACGAGCATGTTGCCGGACTTTGGAAACATGAAGGATGGATCGATGAGAAGGCTGCTCAGGAAGCGCGCACACATTACGGTGGATACTCTGTCAAGACTCACTACGGCCTGCGCATTATTGCGCTCAATACTGGTAATAGTACCTGGATGCTGGTCATTATGCGAGGCACTGACTCTATCAGATTTTTGGTACGCGAAAAACTACTTCAACTTCATCAACTCCACCGACCCCGACAGCTCTGGCGCCTTCTCCTGGATGATTGACGAGCTTCAAAAGGCCGAAGATGCCGGCGAGCGTGTATGGATCATTGGCCATGTTCTCAGCGGATGGGATGGCTCCAATCCCCTCCCTGATCCCACCAATCTGTTCTATCAGATTGTGGACCGCTACTCGCCCCATGTCATTGCCAATATCTTCTTCGGCCATACCCATGAGGACCAATTCATGATCTACTACGCCAACAATGGCACATTGCAGAGCGCGGACACAGCCCTGGCAACCGGCTGGATCATACCCAGCATCACCCCGTTGACGAACCTGAACAGCGGGTTCAGGATGTACGAAGTCGATACTGGCGACTTCAACATCTACGAGGCCTACACCTTCTTCAGCAACGTATCCGATTACACTTCACTCGAAGCAGTTGGGCCCACGTTCCAGTTTGAATACTCAACCCGTGATACGTACGGTCCCGCAGCAGGCTGGGAAAAGGATGACCCTTTGAATGCCACCTTTTGGCATCGGGTGACGGAGTCTATGGAGAAAGATAAAGACCTGGTGAGTTTGCATAATACCTATCAGGGTAAGATGAGCGTCAAGTCCCCCAACTGCACCAATGTAGAGTGTCAGGAAGCGAAGATCTGCTACATGAGAAGCGGTAGCGTTGCTCTGGGAAGCGAGTGTCCTCAGGGGTGAGTTGCACTGTCTGCTGTCATATCCGGATACTAATCGGTGCAGATACGGTTCCGTCCAAAGTTCTTTCTCTTGAGCGGGTTTTCATGCAGTATACATGTACATACTGCGGGATATGCCCGATATTCCTGTATCACTAAAAACAAATCAACGCGTGCATCATCTATAGACATGGCAGTCCGTGAGGTTCACTTCTAGGTTGACATCAGCCTGATGCTCATGCTTTCGTTTGACAATGTTCATCGCCTCTTTGTTTCTCGGCGTTGCTCAACGCCCGTTTGCTTCTCAGCCTTGTTGATCGTCTCTTTGCTCCGTAGAGATATTCATCGTCTCCTGCAGAGACCCGCATAGTGAGTCTACAAAAGCTCGGCGTACAACCTCACGCCAATCCCATTCACACGCCTATCTATCATTCTGTATGCATCATTCTCTATGGATTCACCGGAAGTAATCATTTCTTGTACCTGATTCACCGGATTAGATTGACTCCCACCTGCTGGCAGACATATAAAAACCCCAGACCCCCAAGGTCAGAACTCTCTTCTCTTCTCATCTCATCTTGTCTCTCCCACTGCAAGACTTGCAACTTCATCTTCTCCTACCCGGATCGATGGGCTAGCATTAAGCCCTATTCTCTTAAAGTATCCTTCTTTGCCTTTCTTACATGTGCTATTCTTTACTCTCTGGAATAGAACCCAGATTCGAGGCCTGCCTCTTTCAGAACCTACCGTCGACTTCTGGCGGCTGTGCAGAGATTCTGCTGATGAATCCTGCCTTTCTGCCTCTTCCAAAACCATTATCGGCTTTGGAAAGGGCCCATCAACAAGTCACGTGTAATCCTGTGCATCAGACAGACATGCTGATTCTGTTGCCGCGTTCGGCCGCCTCGCCGGCGGAGATTCTGCTGATTGCTGGTTGCTGGTTGAGTGATCCATGTAACGCAGACCAGCAATCCCCCAGAGGCAGAGGCGCTCGCGGAGGTTCTGCTGACGAATCCTGCGGTTCGGTCTTCGAACCGTCAGAATGGCGTGTTCGGCCATAGCCCACAACTGCGGACATTGAACGGGCTCACACGAAGATTCTACTCAAGAATCGTGGGTCTCGGGCTTTCTCTCGATGCGGCTTCTCCGATTCAAAGCCGGAGGGCACATGCAGGCCTCGCAAGATCTTACACCGATGAAAATGAGATCTCGGTATGATAAGTTTGATCCCATCGTGGTCGCAACGTGAGCTGACATGAGTGAGTAGATTACGCCTCCCAGCTCAGCTACTGGCTGGTATGCCACCGGTTCAGTTATTTGTTCAGCCGTCTGCTCCTCAGTCTCGGCATGGGGCTCAGGCTCTATGGACCGCGTTCGGCATATTCATGCCGTTTGTCATCGATCCGGGTCTCGCAGGCGCAGAAGATAGCGATTGTGAACCCTTTTCTGAAGCTGGAGGTCAATTGTTCAAGCCCGTTCAACGAAATTCGAATGGACGGAGACCAAAGTTATCTGCGCGGGTACTTCTTCGCGTGGATATGTACGGGTCCACATGTCGGACATCAACGTCCATGGAGTGGTGAACGCAGGCCCAATTCGGAGGCGCATGTCCTGGAGGCCATCATCGAATACCATCGCATGTCCCTGAAGTGATGACAATGGCATGCTCGATCATCCAAGCCCCATGAACTTGCAAACGCAGGTCCAACTCGGAGGGGCTTGTTGGAATGTCCTGGAGCCATCATAGAATATCAACGCATGTCCTTGAAGTGACGAAAACGCCCTGCTACGTGGTAGATTATTTCTTCACGTGGACGCATACGGGTCGACATGCTGATCATCCAAGTGCAATCGACACCTGCGTGCGCAATTCACATTCAGAGGACAATGCTGGAATGTCCTCGAGGCCATCATTGAGTACCATCGCATTTGTGCTGGTAATGTTCCAACACCACTGCATTGGTGGAACTTCTCAGAGCCAACTTGGGCCTCTTCTCCTCTGGGTCCCTGAAACAAAGCAGCGACTGTCCCCGTGACGACAGCGAACGGTATCAGCCGGTGCTACACACAATCAGCCGGTATTACATGGCCCATCGCCATACTACGTTCCGAGCAGATGGAAGATACGGCCTTCCAAAGTCGAATAGAGAAGTCAAGGAGAAAGAGAAGAAAGAGGAGGGGACGACGACGAGGAAGAACAGAAGAAGACGAAGGTCAAAGAAGTGGAAGACGAATTTACCGAGAAGTTCAAAATG